GTTGCAAGCACCGTACGGAATGCCATACGCCGTCGTCAACAGCGCATCATGCGTGAACCCCTTGACGATCAACTTGGAAAAGTTCGCAATACCACCATTAATAACCTCATTCAACAGCACAAAGAAGAACAGCAACCAGATCTGCGAGTCCACAAAGACCTCCCTGATCTGATTCCACTTGATCTTCCTATTAAACACACCAGTCTTGTTCCTCGCGCTCTGCGCAATCAGCATCGCACGCTCCTCGACGCTGAATCGCTTGGCAGTGAGGATGTTGTTGGGCAGGAAGAAGAACAGGACTATACCCCAGCAGATGGTCAGGCCGCCGCAGAGCACGTAGATAGTCCGCCAGACATCCCACCCCTTGGCTTGGCCGACACCGTAGAAGAGAATGCCGCCAAACATGGCGCCGAAGCCGTTGAAGCAGTAGAATAGACCTGCGCGCGCAGGCTGTGTCTCGCGACGGAACCATTGCGAGACGATGAGCATGAAGGCTGGTGTGATTACAGCTTCAAAAGTACCGAGGAGGAAACGACAGACTGCGAGACCGGCGAAATTCTGACACGCTGCTGTGAGACAGAGAATAGCGCCCCAGGTAATAACGAACGTGCTGACAATGGTACCAGTTGGTAAACGCTGCGCGAGGTACGAAGCAGGCCACTCAGCAACGAGATACGCAAAGTAAAAAATAGATGCCATCCAAGAGTATTCATCAGAAGTCATGCCAGTCGTTGAAAAGAGATCAAAGACAGCTGAGTAGCCGAGGGCCTGCTTGTCGACATATTGAAGAAGATACGTCCCGCAGAGCAGCGGCATGAGAGACCAGTCGACTTTTCTGCGGAGTTTCTTGAGGGCGTCTTCATCGGCCATGAGCTCGCTTAGACGGGAATGAGCGATGCCATGTTGCTGGAGGAAGAGCTCTGCCTCGTCGAGGTCAGTGACGGTGCCGTTCTTGATGTCTGCCTCTACGTCGTCGTGGTCAAGAGGGATGATCTTCTTGTCCACCTCGATGTCGCTCTTTGTATCGGCCATTATGAAGTCTGCAAGATGTAATCAGGATGATCAAGAAAGAATCTTGTCCTGCTGGGGAGAAACGAGCAGCGACTGAGCGCCCTTTTTGAACCCGGGGGCGATTATACGATTCATGATCTGGGGTATCAGTAGGTGGAGCCAAAGTTGCGATAAGTTGGGTGGAGGTGCTGAGATACCGCTAGCCAGGGGTGCATCCACTGTACTGAGATAGGTAAGTTAACTAAAAGATGCGGGGGAATGAGTTGGTTGGTGGTGGCTAGGTTTTCCCGCGGAAAACAAAAAAAGAGGGCGGTGGAGCAAAGCGGAGGCTAGAATTGGGAGCGAGAGAGGAGATAGGATGTTAGGTTTGGAGATACTCGTGGGTAGATAGATAAACTTGGCGTGTTTGAATATCTGATAGATGAGAGATGGACTGATGATTGTTGTGATAGGGATGAGGTGAGGGCGTCATTGATTGAGGGGGCGGTGTTTGGTGGAAGAAGATGACGAAGAGATGTGTGAACATTTAACATTTAACATTTACAACACTCAACGTGACATAGCAGGGATGAGTAACTACAGTATCGATAAACCCTCATCGTACTGAATTCGCCAAACAGTCTCAAAGATCACCCACTGCATTATCTATCTCATTTTATACTCCCGCCACCACGCTCCCAACATCAATCAACCCTCAAGACTCCAAACCCTCTTCCCAGCAAACCACGTCTCCCTAATCTCAGCCCTCAACAACGTCCTACTATCCCACTCCATATCCGCCACAACCAAATCCGCAAACTTGCCCACCTCCAGCGTCCCAACCCTCCCATCCTGAAAAACACTCCTCGCCGCACCCTGCGACCCTGCAACTACCGCTTCACAAACGCCAAGCTTGAAATGCTCGTTCACCACCTCCTCACACTCTGGCTCCCGCGCTGAACGTCGTGTAGCCGCTACGTACACGTTGTGCAGGGGGTTCCAGGGCGCCGTGGGAGAGTCGCTGCCCAGAGCGAGGAGGGCGCCTGAGTCGGCGAATTCGCGGTATGCGAAGGCGCGGTCGCGACGGGGGCCGATGAGGCGTGGCCATGCGCGCAGGATGGCTGGGTCGGCGTGGACGGGCTGGATGGAAGCTGTGAGGCCGAGTTTACCAAGGCGTTTTGCGTCTTCGGGGGAGGAGACTTCGAGATGTTCGATTCGATGGCGGGCTCCTGGCTTGCCGTACTTCTCGAGCATGTCGACCGCCATGTGAATTGCTGCGTCACCAATGGCATGAAGGGCTATTTGGATCCCTGCATCAGCAGCCTGCTTGACAACAGGTTCCAGATCCTCTCTTGACCAGAACGGCGGCGGTGAAGCAATTGAAGAGTATGGTTCTGAGAGATATGCCGTGCAGGCGTCGATGATGCCGTCGCAGATGATCTTGATGCCCGCGATGCGAAGATCAGGCGACGTCTCAAGACTATATTGCCTCGCAAGTTCAATAGCCCTGTCAACCTGTCTCATGCGCTCTTCAACTGTATCAGCAGGTTTAACGATCCAATACGCCGTAACACGCATCGCAACGTCAGGATATCTCCTCTTCAGCTCAACGAGACTCTCCCAGCTGTACTCATCCATCGCCATCTCGATTATCCCCGTGTATCCTGACGCATGGTACGCTTTGAACGCAGCGAGCATACACTCAATCCGCTCCTCATTCGACGCAAGCTGCGCAAGTGTCGGCCAGACAATCGACAGAATGGACGCTTCGCTGAGAACACCAGATGGTTTACCGTCCTCATCCCTCTCGATAATACCACCCGGCGGATCCTCCAGATCAGCGACCTTCATCTCCTTCAAGCCCGCTGAATTGCACCACGTCGAGTGCATGTCCTTTGTATCAACATAAATCGGCCTCTCGTCAATCTCATCCAGAATCTTGGCCGTTACTCCATCGGGAGTCATGGAGTGCATCCAACCCTTTGCCATGATCCGCGGAACATCCGGATTCGCTTTTGCGTACGTGCGCAGCTCGTGAAGAATATCATCCAGATTCTTACATCCCTCCAGCGCAATCTTTCTCAACGACTGGCCCAGTAGCAAAAGATGCATATGCCCATCTACAAAACCCGGCAGAACCGTCTTCCCCGCGAGATCCTGCGTGATAACGTCTTCCCCTGTGACTTTCGCCTGTACTTCATCTTTCGTGCCGACGGCTTGAATGATGCCGTCTTTTATGTACATGCTCTCAGCAAAGGTGGGTTCGTCGGCCAAGCTGGCGACGGTCCTCGAGAGGATCTTGCCATTGATGAAGAGAGTCATACTGTAAAATTTCTGTGTGAGCAAAGAACAGGTTTTTTGTGGCGGCGTATTGGGTACTTATATGACTTTATCGGCCTTCTTGATTTGGGCCGCGTCCATGCGGGAGCCACTCAAGTGGGCTAGATGTGCCTATCACCAAATTCGGGGGCTTGATGGTGGGGTGAAGTCTGAAGAACCGTCCAATGTCGTGGAGATGCGATGCGCTGTGAGGCAAAATGCAATGCAGTTTGATATGGCATTTACTGATAGGTCCTTCACTCAAGTGCCCTTTTTAATCCTTCAAAGATCTACACAATACATTTATCAAGCATCCTCGTGCCTGAGATTATTTACAACCTCGGTATCGTCATGTCCGGCACCGGCCTTGAACTCGTGGGGACCCTTGAATTTTAACCTGTCATCGCCTACTTGTCTAATTGGCTGCTTTTCTGGTAACAACGGGTCTGTGAAAATCGCTCACTGAGATGATCTTATCAGATGGAACGTCATCTGATCTGATCTAATGCACGCAATTCGTACAGTATCAGGTTTTTCAAGACCGAGGTCTGGGTATTTCGCCTCCACCGTTTTTCCTGTGACGCTATAATGTACCCTGCCTGGAAACAGCCCCTGGTCTTGTCAAGGCAACGCGATTATATGAGCGCGGCTTAGGACATATCATGAAGAGCAGTATTCTGAGGTATGTTATCGTTGGTGTTGGGAGGGGAATCGGGTTGAAGTTCTGCTATTGAGCACTTCGCCGCATAAATGTGGGCGTATACAGCTACCGGTCTCGCAATCGAAGTTGAACTTGAGCCGAAGAAGCCATCGTGGGCCGAAAGTGACTGTGGCGCTTACAGCATGGCAGGCCCTTATTGTCAACACAGATCGTCCGGAGCCAACACCGCAGCCAAAGAATAATCTGGGCAATAAGTCTTTTGTTACTGGCGCGGCAAACACCGTAAGAGCACATATGGTACAACTCGCCTCCATCACAGCCGCGATGCGGTAGGATGAAGATTAATACACTGTGGATTCCCCTTTCTCCTCTCCCTTGAGGCGCATTTCATCCTTGATCATCCTGTGACGTTGCCCGAAACCCTCTTGTCTCTTGACTCTCGCAGTTTTGGTCCCATCAACAGTCATCCCGCAGCTAAAGAGCATACCAAGCCTTGTTCTTTCCTTTGAACCTTCGACGGTACAGCTCGACAAGTTGTCCATCACGAGATATCAAGGCTTTTTCGGCGGAGCCGTTCAAATTGGGAGCGATGGTGCCTTTTTGAAGGGTTAATTGGTGGTAGAGAAAGGCGAAGGTTTCTGTTACGTGTTTCGTCCCGATTCCAATGGCTGAATACTCGGGAGGCTTAAAATTAACATCGTGGATGACCCTGTTGCTGCGTTAAGTTTTCTTCACGAACTCTGTAACGATCACGCAACAAGTCAATCAATTCTCCAATGCGGGGTTCCTCATATAGATACTTGTAATCATACTTCTTTTGTGTTGGAACAGATGTCGAATTGACCTCAAAGAAGTCACATGGTCGTTTTGTCTGAACAAAGAACATGATGGGTTGACGACAACATCAATTGCGGAGATGGGCTTTGCGATAACCTGACAACGGACGCATCACGTTATACAGACGGATAATGTCGACAAAACAGTAACCTCGAAGGTTGCTGTATAAGTCAAGATATCCTGCCAGGTTGAGATGCTGGTGATCCCCTATTCCGTCTCGTTACGCATCGAGCCTCCATCTGCGGCTCTAGGTACAACCGTTGACCATCACCACTACACTAAACCGGCAAGTTCTCTACTACCCATTGGTATTATTATAACTAACATCACAGGCCAGACTTCCAAGATGACTGTCGAGTACGAATGCGGCTTCAGCATCTACCCTCCTCTCCCCCCAACACCCTCCAACCAAACCCTCTACGCTCTGTTCCTCGCCCGCCTCAGAACCACATTCTCCTCCCAAGTCCATCCCTCCACCTCCAAACCACTCCTCATAACCGACGACGACACCGCCTTCTACTACTTCACGCTCCCCAAGTACCCTAAAATCCCTGCCAATCCTGAACATTGCAACTTCTTCCTAAGTTTCCGCCTTGGCTTCGGAAACGGTGGTTTACCACGCGAAGTGGCTGTTTCTCATGTCCTCGAGGTACTCGTTATTGCGAAAGAGTATTTTGGGGAGAGGGTTAGGTATTGGAATGGGATGCATAGGATGAGATGTAATAAGCAGTGGGGGTATTATACGCTTGCAGATGTCGAGGAGGCGGAGAAGGAGGTGAAGAAGTTGTGCAGGAGTATGGACTTCAAAGTCGCAGTGATGGAGACGGTGGTGGAAACACTGGAGGAAAATAACATCGTGGAAACTGGACCTCTAGCTCTGCTCAGTCAGTAGTCTTTTTGTCTACATTTACACCGGAAACTTGTCCCAGTTACCTTCGATCATAAGACCCCAGCTCCACCAACATTTTGTTAAAGCAGTAACTTGCAACTTAATCTTCAAGATTGGGCTAAGTGCTCTCCCAATGATAGCAGACTACGGACGGATCTGTCCTGCATTTGACAGGGTCAATTTGCTGCACTAGCACGATGTTTCATATATCCTTCGGACCTAATACAGAACCAGTTAGCAGAGACCGAAACTTCTTGCGGAGCGCTCTGGGAGTTTGACAGTACTTTGCCAGCAGGATTCTTGCCTCAGGGGGTATCTCTGACCTTCTAACGTTGTCAAGTGATCGGGCTTCGTCTTCACCCCATTCTCAGCTTAGACACACGGTCCCATTGGGCGAAGCATAAAGCGAGGACTTTACTCTACAATATTGCTCGTCGCCCGGGCCATGACAGGAAAGACTTGAACACACATACGGAGTATACTCAACCATTCCAGCGTAATCCTGGCAATGTTAGGTACCACTGTTCTGATCCCAAAAAAGGCATCAGAGATACAGGTACGTAAAGCTGCCCATGAACCCGTTGCTCAGACACACTTAAGCACCTCCTTTACATGAGATAGCCGGAACATCAGTCAGACTTGGGCGTAACGCTCTGGTCAGGCTCGTGGATCCTGAAGGATGCTGGTTGGCAGCATTGAGGTGTCAGCAGTTGTGCGCTACTGTTTACTTCATCCTGCCAACATGCCCTTCAATGACTTATCGTCTTGTCTTGATGCAAGTCTCACTCATGAGCTACCTGATGATCCAGTTGTAGCGTACTCGCGAACTCCGTGAGGGGAGTAGGCTGGGTCCATTGAGGGAGGAGGGGGGCCCTTTCTGTCTCCTAACCTCGCATCTTTCCATTTATCTAGTGGGGGGTGTGTGGTTTATGCTTTTATCACTACATTTGAGCCGAGACTTGGTCATGGCGCATTTGCTTGCAAAGTTGCAATAAGGAAGAAAGAGCCTGAACTCGGGATGCAGCCGTACTTCGCACCCAGCGGACGACTTCTTCGGTGAGCTCCAATGTTGTGTCATCTATATCTGTCAGTCTTGCCTCCATTGTCTGCTCGAATGTGCGGTTATGCGTTGGTGTACCTCGCAGGTAGCCCCGGATTTTGACCTCGGATTGACGATAACTTCATTTGCCATCCTTCACCAATGCAAACAAAAGGGAAGCAGACGGCTAGCACCACGCATCATCTACACTTTCAGTGGGCAGAAAGCAGGTAAGCTATATTGGTTCAGAGACTTGATCACATGTGTAGGCGTCTCAGTCTTGTGCTGAACCTCTAGAGATGCGAAGGTTTGTTCATGATGTTTAATTTACGGTTCATCTTTCGAGGCAAGATTTGTAGATTAGAGTGTCGCGAGTCTGATCGATTGGATTATATGTTTGTTTAAGCCTCCAAACTAAGAGCAAATTCTGCATAGATGCTGGAGCAAACAGTTTCGCAGCTGCCAGCGCCAGGAAGGAGCGCAAAGCAAAGCTGCTCAACCATCGACATCCATCTCCTCTCCTCTCCCCTCAACTCCATTCCAACCAACTCTTCATCGCAACATCTCTTCCATCCTCGCCCTCATAAACACATCCCTTCACCTCAACAGCCGCTCATCATGTCTTTTGACTGCGGCTTCGACATCTTCCCCCTCCTCAGCCCAAGCCCCGAGAACAAAATGAGGTACGCCGAATTCCTCGACGACCTAACAACCGTCTACAAGGACGACGAAGAAACCCGCCTCCTCATCCTCCCCTCCGACGCCGACTTCCCCAAGTACCTCGACAAGCGCTTCGTCCACTTCGCGCTGACCAACAACCCGCGCATCCCCGCCGACCCCAACAACTGCGACCTGTTCTACAGCCTGCGCAGCACGAGCGTCTTCGACGCCACCGTCATCGACACCATGAAGGAGATCTTCATCATCGCGCAGCACCATTTTGGGAGCCGTGTGCACTTCTGGACGGATGAGAGCGTCATCTACTCGAAGGGAGAGGTCACCCGCTCGGAGTGGGAGGTCTGCAAGAGAGAGGATGCCTCAGACTCGAAGTGAAATGTGAGAAGCGCGCTTATTCTTGCCCCGATGCTTCCGATTACGCTATGCTACTGGGGGGTTTATACGCCCGCATCTGCCGATGTTGCGCGGTAGTCGTGGCATGGGCTTACTTTTACCGTTGGGTTGGGGCTGACGTTGGGACCGAAGGAATGGAAATAAGCACCAGTGTGTGTTATTTTATTAGATCATAAGGCAAAAGTGACAGATCAGTTCATTCTGATACAGGGATATCTCCAGCCAACGACACAAAAAGAAAAAGACAAGTTTAATCATAGCGTGCTCCCATACGTCCAAATCTCTAGCCAAAATTCACAGTGTCAAGTCTCGGTCCATTTAGAGCAGTGCTACTGAAGACGCATTAGCTTTGGTCGCTGTACTTGGTGATTGTCTACTGACCTGATCGAGCTTCCCACGACTTGTAAGGGTCGGCTGGCTTTTTTGTAGGGTCGACTGAGCCTGCGAGCTTCCTCTGGATCTTTTCCTTGAGTGAAGGTTTATGCGGTGTTGTTTCAAGACCTGATTTGTTAGTGGGGGTGATTTAGAGGATGTGAATGAGACATACCAGGCTTGGTACTTGTTGAAGGCTTTGTTGTGTCAACGAGTGTTGTCTCGGAGACGTTGGCGATCTTGTATGTAGGGTTCGACATGTTGAAGATGTTGATTGTTGTTTTGTAAGTGTGTAGTAGAGTGTTTCTGAGTTTAGTGTAAATGTCTTGTAGACTGTAAACTGTATTGATGCTGATGTATCTTGATCTGATGCCTCAAATCTCGGGGACACAGCTTCTACTTATACTCGGACTAAACTTACACACCATCAAGCGATTGAGTCACAAACGTTAAAAAATGACATCTCAGCGCCCTTGAAATGGATCACATCTTGTCAGCCCTGCATGATTGAAGGCTTTCGATCCGACTCCGAGTGACACATTCCGCGCTCTAGATCCGCATCACTACTCGGCGTGCCAAAAGCAGTATAAACCCCTGTAAGCCGAGCTGAACCAAGTGGGTACTCGACCCCGACTCTCCATTATTCTCGAGCCGAAGCCACTCATTATCAAGCCGAGTCCACCGAGTCCACCAAGTCAAGCCGAGTCTCTATTGTTAAGCCGAACCCCACATTCAACACTCTATTTTCACATCAAACGCAACACCCACACAATTTCGAGGCCGATATCTCAAGCCGAAGTAACCTCCAAGCCGAGAATCAAGATTTATCATCATCGGATTCATCAGCATTTTTTCAATGGCGCCATGTCAACGGCCCCTCTCCTCCTACGCCTAAACGGTCGCCCGCAAGCCTGCGATCCATGTCGAGCGCGGAAAGTAGCCTGCGACCACGGCCAGCCAACCTGTTCACGCTGCAGAAAGCGGAACGAGACCTGCGTCTACACCGTTTCGGGCGCAACGGTCAAGAAGCAACGGCTTCGGTCCCCCGAACCTCAACCTCCACCAGCACCGAGCAATGACTCGACGCCTTCACCCGCCGTGGCTCCTGGTTATCTCGGCTTCACCAGTCACAATGCTGTCTTTGAGGAAACGCGCAATAGCCTCTCGCTCGTCCACGGACCGCCTGTTGAAGTCGTTGAGCCGAGGGCGCCGAGGGGTAGAAGTGTGATTGACCTCCCGTCTCACTTGAGAGAGATGAGTCTCTATGTTCTTCGGTGTTTACCTCAGTCTCAGCATGATGTTATGGCGCATAGACTTCACTGTCTCACAGACGGATGGATCTTTAGGGCTATTCAGGAGATTATCGACACGCTTCATAAAGATTGGGGACGGTATCTCTCATCGCGAGACGATGCGGACTTGGATGTCGTGGCGCGGCATGTAAGCCATAACACGGCGAGACCTCTGCGCGATGAACATTCGAGTGCAAAGGCTTGGACTGATCAGTTCACGGGGAGTAATATCCGCTGGGAGTCGGTGGGATTGATATGGACGTACTGGAATGGCTCGCCGAGTTTTGATGCGCCGGTTGTGGTGAAGTGTTTGGGGTATTGCATTGAGCTGGCGAGACATTTCACTCCTGGGAATGACATTATGCTGTATCTTTGCTACAGACGAGTCACCACTGAGTCCCTCGTCTCAGGCGATGCAGGTGAGTTGATGGTCATCCACTGCGTTGAGTCTCGCTGACAATCGCAGGTTTGACATGCTGGCGCTACTTTGCAGAGACGGTCGCACTCCTCACATTCCTTGGTCGACACGTCGGTTCAGAAGACACAAACTACATCCCCTCTCTCTGCTCCGAACACAGACGTCGCATCACCGCCCGCGTCTTCAACATCGACAAAGTCCTCGTCTCATTCACAGGACGTCCACCGCTGCTCAGCCGTCGCTTCTTCTCATCCCATCTGCCACTCGACCTGACAGACTTATGTCTTGAATCTGACCAAGCTACCATACGTCATGCGGTGCAAGAGCTCGATTCCAATGGTTTCCGCCATGTCGGTGATCTGAAAGGCTCGTCTATGGTTAGGGCGCGGTCGCAGATTGCTTACATTAAGGATGAGCTTCTTGAGATTGCACTTGCGAATAGCGTCAAGGTTACTTTTGAGAGTCTAACGTACGTCACACTCGCGTTTCTGGGTTCTGTGCTGACAGGGGTAGTGAGATCAAGGCTCGCGCTGAGAGAACGTATGAGAGCTTCCCAGCCAATCTCATCCATCGACCTGACGAACTCGACGATCCGGACTGCGACGTTCAGAAAGTCTATTCACGAATTCTGATTCGACTAGAACACATGCAGAACCTCTTTTTCGTAGAAAGACTATTGCTTCGACTCGGTCACATTGATGAGAACCGGTTACTCCCGATTAGTTTCGAGATGGTCACTCTAACACTTCTCTTCTGGACACACCAAGATCGCTTCTCCGGCATGAGACGAGATTTCGAATGGCTTGTAGGTCAACTTTTCCCAATTACACTCCCCCATATCTCTAACATCCTCAGCTCATGGCCTTCGCCGCCCCCGGAGGCGGTATCCTCTGCCTCGAACTCCTCCGCCCAACATTCCGCGGCACCCATCCCGACTGCCCCAAACTCAGCCGTTCAGCCATAATCCAAAAACTCAGTCTTCTAATCGGCTTCCTCGACTGGGTCCGACCTCCCGCCCCCAACGCCGATCTTTGCGCAGACTGCAAAGCTGTTATACAGGGTGTGCTAGACCATAATCTCAATGCCCCGATTGCAGGTGGAGGAGCATTGGATACGCTGGATTGGGATATCCCGACGCAGTTGGACTTTAATTTTGATCTTTTGGATACGTTTGATTGGTTGAGGCCTGAGCAGTTAAGTCTCCCTGCGTGAGGAGGAAGTTTTGGATTGTAGTGTTGGTTGAGGAGGGAGCTTGGATATGGATCCAGTGGCTGGTGTTTAGGCTGACGGTCTGGAGATCGGGGGCCCAGGATGAAAGCATTTGCTGTTGTTGGGTGGCAGATTGTTCGGGGTCTGATGGGACAATGAACAGAACGGGTTGTGAGATGTGAAAGTCTTCAAAGCCTTGTTCGTCTGGGGCGAAGAGGTTATCTTTCCACATGCGATACCATCGACACACGCCTTTGTACCCATCATTCGAGCCAAACGCCTTGAGGTGTGCTTTCTGCAGATCTTCGGTATACCACGATGCAATGGGAAGTCTGCGGTCTTGACGCACAAACTCCTCCATCTTGCCAAGCGGATGGAACCACGTCTCCCATTCTTCCCGATCGCGACAAAACACCAGACTCATCGCTGCTTCCGCGTTCTTCTCGAGAAGTTCCTGCGAGGTGAATTCGGCTAGCCACGGGATGTATCCGAGCATCTCATACCCCAGAAACTGCTTGGTCATGGTGTTGATCATGTCAACGTCGAATGGCGTCCCCAGCTTTGGCGGTCCGACGGCTAGAAATACGAGTGCTTCCCAGCGTGAGGGGTGATAAGCTGCCATTCTTGATAGGAGCGTCGCGCCGAAATCATGGCCGATTCCAACGAGGGTCTTGAGGTCCAGATGGTCGAGAAGTTCGATGACCTCATCGCCCATCGGCTTAAGGCGGTACGCGTTTACATCTGTTGGCTTGCTGCTTTCACCGTAGCCGAGCAGATCAAGGGCCACGACACCGTATCCCTCGGATGAGAAGTGTCGGATTTGATGGACCCAGTCTGTGAGGGTTGATGGAAAGCCGTGAAAAAAGAGAAGGGTTGTGGATTGGGAGGTTGGAGGGATGAAGATGTATGAGTATACATTGCCCCTACGGGCTGTAAACGTCTGTCGCGCGGGTAATTCGAGTGTCATCTTGGAAAACTATCGATTTTCAATTGATACAGAGTAAATTGAAGCAATTGAACGGAGCGACGATGTCTCGGAGCTTTATACCCTCCGGAAAGTTCTCGGACACTTCCTCACTCCCAACCCCACGTCATCCCTCACGAATCCTCAATATACCTCTCATAAACACTCCCATAAAACCTCCTCCCAATCTCCCTATGACTCCTAACTTTCGTCCTCAACTGCGTCTCTCCCCAAGTATCATACAACCCCCTCACAAACGGATTATCCACCGCCCCCCCCCCACCCGCCTCCCCCCCTTCACCCCATC